CGCCATTCACGTATTTGTCTTGGACTTTCGATTTATTTTCCCAGCCGCCCCGGCCTGCCCCGCCGCCCCGCCCATTTGGCGTTTCGGCCGCCGGAGCGCGGCAGCTCCCGGCGCCGCCATTGTCATGAACACGATCAAGGACCAGATCACGGACATGCACGTCGCCGGCCTCGGTGCGGGACGGCGTGGCGAGCGGGGCCTGTCCATATTGAACCAGATCGGCCCGGCCAAATACACTTGCAGTTTCAGCGAGGCGAAACACACAGCGGGTTCAAAAGGTGGCCGAAAATGGGTGTGTGTCAACGGCGGCCAGCGATGGAGTTAAGACCACACGTGGACGTGGTTGAGGACGTAGCCGAGGTCGTGGCCGAGGACGTGGCCGAGGACGTGGCCGAGGACGTGGCCGAGGACGTGGCCGAGGACGTGGCCGAGGACGTGGCCGAGGACGTGGCCGAGGACGTGGCCGAGGACGTGGCCGAGGACGTGGCCGAGGACGTGGCCGAGGACGTGGCCGAGGACGTGGCCGAGGACGTGACCCGCGTGACGCACTGCAGCGCGACTAGAGTCTGGAACCCCAGGCCTGGCGGCGCCTGGAGGCGCGACAGGCGCGTGGCTGCGCGTGGCGCTCTGCGAATGACTGCTGCCGTCCGTCTCGCGTCCGTCCGTCCCCACAAAGCGACTGGGCCCACTTGTGCCATGCACCTTGGCCCTTGAATTAAACATGAGGTTGTCTTTGAGCCGCGGCCGCCCCGGGCCCTGCCGCGTGCCCTGCCGCGTGCCCTGCCCTGCCCGCGGACTCGGCAGGGAGGCGCGGAGGCAGGGGGAGGTGTGACTTAGCCAACGGGCAGCGCGGTGCAGCGCCAGACGCGGCGTGTGGCGGCCAGTGGCGGCCAGACACTGGGAAACGAACATGCGCTACCGCTTCATAGATTTTGGCGGGCCGGCTCTGCGATTCGCGCAACGCACGTCAGAGCACACTCGCCAACCAAATCAATTCATGCTCTGTCTTTGAGACCATAAGCGCAATAGCCTACAGAGTGCAGTGGAGAGCGCCAGAATGCGACAGCGACCGCCAAAGACCGCCAAAGACAGCCGGACTCTGACACTCTAGCTCGATGGCTCGGTGGACGATCTACACGGTTAGAAATATGACCGTAGAATTACCAGATTAAAATCCGTAGATTTGAAAAACGGAGCGATCCGTAAACTAGAAAAACGGAACTAAATACTACGGCACGAATCCGTAAAATTGGGTCCAAAGTCAGTCCTTTTGCGTCCACTCGAGTCCAACGTCAGTCTCAGTCCTGTCGCGTCCCCTCAGGTCCAGAAGCGGTCCGGTCCGGTCCCGTCCCGTCCCCTCGGGTCCCAAGGCGGTTCCGTCTGGTCCAGTCCCGTCCCCTCGAGTCCGAAGGCAGTCCCGTCCGGTCCAGTCCCGTCCTCTCGGGTCCTCATGGGTCCCGTCCGGTCCCGTTCCGTCCCCTCGAGTCCTCTTCGGTCCTCTTGGGTCCACTTAAGTCCAGGTCCACTTGGGTCCATTTGGGTCCATTTGGGTCCGGGTCCTCTTGGGTCCATTTGGGTCCATTCAGGTCCATTCGGGTCCATTCGGGTCCATTCGGGTCCATTCGGGTCCATTCGGGTCCATTCGGGTCCTATCGGGTCGTCTTGCGTCCATTTGCGTCCTTTTGGGTCCATTTGGGTCCATTTGGGTCCAGTTAGGTCTGGGTCCTCTTGGGTCCATTTGGGTCCATTCGGGTCCATTCGGGTCCATTCGGGTCCATTCGGGTCCATTCGGGTCCAATCGGGTCCTATCGGGTCCTATCGGGTCCATTCGGGTCCATTTCAGTCCATTTGGTTCCATTTGGGTCCATATTAGTCTTTTTGTGGCCCAAGGGGTCCCAAGAGGACCGAAGAGGACCCAAATGGCCCCAAGAGGGCCCAAATGGACCCAAATGGACCTAAATAGACCCAAATGGACCCAAGAGGACCCGATAGGACCCGAATGGACCCAAATGGACCCAAAAGGACCCAAACGGACCCAAATGGACCCAAGAGGACCCGGACCCACATAGACCAAAATGGACCCAAATGGACCCAAATGGACCCAAATGGACCCAAATGGACGCAAGAGGACGCGATAGGACCTGAGAGGACGCGATAGGACCTGATAGGACCCGATAGGACCCGATAGGACCCGATAGGACCCGATAGGACCCGAATGGACCCGAATGGACCCGAATGGACCCGAATGGACCCGAATGGACCCAAATGGACCCAAGCTGACCCGGACCAAAATGGACCCAAATGGACCCAAATGGACCCAAATGGACGCAAGAGGACCCGTTAGGACCCGATAGGACCCGATTGGACCCGAATGGACCCGAATGGACCCGAATGGACCCGAATGGACCCGAATGGACCCGAATGGACCCGAATGGACCCGAATGGACCCAAGAGGACCCCGACCCAAATGGACCTAAATGGACCCAAGTGGACCTGGACTTAAGTGGACCCAAGAGGACCGAAGAGGACTCGAGGGGACGTAACGGGACCGGACGGGACCCATGAGGACCCGAGAGGACGGGACTGGACCGGACGGGACTGCCTTCGGACTCGAGGGGACGGGACTGGACCGGACGGGACCGCCTTGGGACCCGAGGGGACGGGACGGGACCGGACCGGACCGCTTCTGGACCTGAGGGGACGCGACAGGACTGAGACTGACGTTGGACTCGAGTGGACGCAAAAGGACTGACTTTGGACCCAATTTTACGGATTCGTGCCGTAGTATTTAGTTCCGTTTTTCAAGTTTACGGATCGCTCCGTTTTTCAAATCTACGGATTTTAATCTGGTAATTCTACGGTCATATTTCTAACCGTGTAGACGTTCTGGACGGTCTGGACGTTCTGGACAATTAATCCCCTTGATGGCGAGGAATGGCCACCGCCACACATTGGGCCCCACGCGCCGCCGCGGGCCGCGGAGGGGGAGGGGAGGCGGAGGCGCATTCCTAGCGCGAAAAAAAAAAAAGCATCCAGCAAGAAGTGACTTCAAGAAACTATTCCACACATCCTTTGCGGCCTGTACCCTTCTTTTCTGCCCAAACTGGTCCTTCCCTGTGTGTGTGTGTATGTGTGTGTGTGTGTGTGTGTGTGTGTGTGTGTGTGTGTGTGTTTGTGTGTGTGTTTGTGTGTGTAACGGGTAGTGGCGCAAAGGTCGCAAAAGAGTCGCCATCAACGAAACTGTCTCGATCAAAATGTCATCAGACGCTAGTTGCAGTTGACTGCACTCCATTGACTAATTCCCAGTGCGGAGAGGTCAACGTCCTAACAAAGAGCCAGGGTAAGGTTCCACTTTACACATTTTTGCACCAGGGTTTGTGTAAATAATAAAACGTATTTTGATGGCGTTTTAAACATTGTCCCAGACTGAAACTGCGCTGGAATGGCGCCGTTCGTGACCTTACAGCGTGGTGGTCCCGAACGCCCTGCTGACCGCGCGCACTGCCACACTGCAAGTGGCGCTTACAGTGCGGTGCCGCTTTTGCCGTTTTTGCGTGCTCCACCTTTGCGCCGTGCTCTCGACAAGTTGAGCAACTAGCTTCTGGTCCTTCTAGTATTCCGAGGCATTTAGCGACGATTTATACGCCGCGCGCTGCTCCCGCCTTTTTTCCCCCCAGCAGACTGATTCCGAGAGTCGTTTTCGTCGCTCTGTCTCTCTCGCACCTGTACGGGGCGCCCCATGAGTACGAGAGAGACAGAGCAAGACTCTCGGAATCAGTCTGCTGCGGTGCGTTGTCTGGAGCTGGGCTGGGCAGGCTGCTGGGGGTTTTCCCGGCGCGGGCCGCCTTGGGTTCAAACAACGTGTTCGCGCAAGGAAAGGGCAACGGAATGATCTTTGGGGGAGATAAATTTCCGCAACTATAGCACACTAGACGGACGGACCGACGGACAGGCAGGCAGGCAAGCAGACGAACAGACAGGCAGACAGACGGACGGCTCCCAGAGCTCACGATAATTCGATCACCGGTGCTGCGCGCTGCTACGCCCACAATGGAAGTCCGACAACGACCTTACCTCCACCCACCCGACCAATCACAGCGCGGCAGTTCGGCGCGCCTAATTTGAATTACACGTATAAGGAGCAGCTCGGCGCTCGGCGTTCGCGTATTTGCTCACTCGCGTGCGTCAGTGTGCGTGTGTCTGTGAGTGCGAATTTTTGCCCTGGAATGGCGAAGGTCTTAAGTGGCGACCGGCGTCGTTTGGTTCGTGATTAGAACCAGGGAGAATACGGGGGGAAGAGAGGGAGGCGGAGAGTGCGCGTGAGAGAGACAGAGAGATAGCCCGCCTGCGTGCGTGCGAGAGAGAGACAGGCAGTAAATAAATCACGTGTAGGGCCGCGTCGCCTCGCGGGAGTGGCGGTCAATCGCCACAGCCACTTTCTTCGCTGAGGACGATGAGAGTGTTTAATTGGCTGAGCAATGGTAAATTATTGCTCGGCTGCTTGCAGTGCAGGGGACAAAGGCCCCCGCGCGACTGCTGCACTGTTGCTGCTGCGTTCTGGTAGGGCTCTGGAGGACTCTGGAGGTGAGGCGGACGCTCTCCGACGAGGCGCGCGAGCACAACGAGAAGGCTGTGTTTTGTTTCGGGCGTGTGGCGTGACGGGTCGTGTGACAGGTTACCGGTGCGCGCCGCCCCGCCCCGCCGTGCCGCGTGTGCGAAATGGTTGTGGAGTGTGTGCCCCTCCCTGCCCTTGCCCCTGTGCCCCGGGGGCTCCACGGCCGGGGTCGAACGCAGTGGGGCTGTGGGGCCCGGGCGGGGCGGGGCGGTGGGGGTGGACCGGGGGCAGTCCTGGGGGCGCGGCCTGGCGGCCTGGCCGTCTGGGCCGACGGCCGTGGAGGGGGCTGCAGTGGCTGCACTGTCTGGAGTCTGGGGTTGACGTGACGGAGTATAAAGGCCGAGCTCGGCCTGGGCAGGGCATCATTCCAGTTCAATCCGTCCCACAGAGACAACGCAGCCCAACCTCCCCGCCAAGATGAAGTTCCTGGTGAGTTGGGTGGCCTGTGCCGAGTTCACCAAGTGCCGTGTGTGTGTGTGAGTGAAGTGACCCATGGATTTACCACGCCGAATGGACTTCGCAGTGCATGTGATACATAGTTGCAGTTAACTCGATCCGGTGTTGTGAGTTTGCCTCTCTGCGCCTTGGGGCACGAGCAATGCACCAGTTTGCGTGATACTGTATTGAAATCTTGATGTCTGGTCAATCGGTAACGTCACAAACATAGAAACAAAAGCTTTCAGGCTTTTAAATGTTGAAAACGTTAACGGTGCAAAGCGAGTGACGATACGACATTGTTGCAGTGCGTTGTCGTCGCCGTCCTGGCCGTGGTCGCCGCCGAGGAGCAGTCCGCCGAGAAGAAGCAGGAGAAGAGAGGCGCTGTCGGCGTGGGCTACGGCTACGCCGCCCCCGCCTACGCCTCCGCCGCGTACGCCGCCCCCGCCTACGCCTCCGCTGCGTACGCCACCCCCGCCTACGCCCCTGCCGCGTATGCTGCCCCCGCCTACGCCGCCCCCGCTCTCAGCTACGCCGCTGCTCCCGCCATCCACGCTCCCGTCGCCAAGCTGGCCTACTCCGCCCCGGCCGTGAGCTACGCCTCCCCCGCCGTCTCCTACGCCGCCCCCGCCGTGTCTTACGCCGCCGCCCCTGTCGCCAAGCTGGCCTACTCCGCCCCCGCCGTCAGCTACGCCGCCGCCCCCGCTGTGAGCTACGCCGCTGCCCCCGCCATCGCTAAGGTCGGCTACAGCGCGCCCGCCATCTCCTACACCGCCGCCGCCGCCCCCGCCGTCAGCATCGGCCACGGCGTGTCCTACGCCTCCCCCGCCCTGTCCTACGCCGCCCCCGCCCACGGCCTCGCCTACGCCGCCCCCGCCCCCGCGCTGTCCTACGGCCACGGCCCCGTCGGCTACGCCGCTGCCCCCCTGGGCATCGCCGGCCACGGCCTGGGCTACAGCAGCATCGGCCTCGGCCACGGTCTGGGCTACAGCAGCCTGGGCGGCTACCTCCACTAAGGTGAGTTCCCTGGGTCAAGCGCGGCACGCCTCGCCCGACTTCCTCATGCAGTGCACGCCCTCGCCGAGCGCCGCGGTGAACACGGCCTTGTTGCAGGCCCACATCATCGCCATCTAACTGCTGATCCAAATTCGCCGGCACGCCGCCAGGCTGCGCCAGGCCCTCGGCCAGGCCTCACCTCGCCGCCCGCAGCCACCACAGCACCGTGGCCATCTAGTCCGTCAAGCACCCTCTCGCCAGCGTGATCAGCACGGCCAGCCTGCACCACTCTGCGCCCCACGGCAGGCGGGCCGACCACTCCATTGTGATTACTGATGTTACCATGTCATACCTTGTCATCGTGTCGTTCATAAAAGCGTAACTCACATTCATAATTTCGATTGTAAAAGAACTATTTATTTTTTAAATGAAATAAACCAATGAAAAAAAAAATTGAAATAGGTGCATTTATTTTCTTAAACATCACTGAGTAAAAAAAAATATCGTGATAGGGGGTAATCGTTCCCAAAGAGAACATCAACGGGAATAAGACGTGGACGCAACGTTAAATTTCACGAGAAGTCATCGAAAGGCAAAACGAAGAGCACAAAGTCAGCTGTAGATTAACTTCGTATGCAAATATGCGCTGATGCAGACACCTGTGTTGTGAGACATACCAGTACAGCGTGTCCAAGGGCTGTAAAGAGCGATGAGGCCAACGGAGGCCTACCAACGCCCACCTAGAGGCCTACAGCAGAAGCCAACGCCAACAGAGGCCTATCCAGAGGTCTAAAGAGTCCCACACAAAGGCCTATAGAGAGGCTTGCAGTGGAACACAGAGGCCCGCTTGCACTGCGGGGAAAAATTAGAGAGGGAAAGAACAGAACACTCCATACATATTTTACTTCAAATGCCGTTAACATCTATCATGTAAGTAGTAACCGCTGATGCCACGGAACAACTTTTGATAGTTGTTATGCCTGTGCAATACGGTACTTGGAGTAAAATATGGGGTGTTCAGATCTTCCCTGCACTGACCCAACAGAGTATTTTTTCCGAGTACATATCTGCGATGGTATTCTTCTTCAAAAGAACAATTGTTCTACTTTTTGCACGAGTTGAATGTAAACGTTGGAATTCTTTTCAAACCAAATCGTGTATTCGATCGCGTCAGCCTTCCAGCCTGCGGATCCTGAGCAAAGTCTCTCCCTCGCACTCATGCGAAGAAGAGCGACGAAGCTCGGTTCGGGATCGGACTCCTCCAGCCGGCCGACCAGAGAGACCCAACACCACCCCTCCTCCCTCCTAACGTTGTCCATGTCCATGTCCATTCATAGACGCGGGCTGGATGTACGATGGGTTGCCGTCAGCCGGGCGGTGAGGCGCGAGACAAGCCTGCAGGCCTCAAAGCAAAAAGCCGCGGTGCCGTTGGGTTGCGTGTCTCTCGGCTGGCTGGCTACCCCGCTTCCAGTGGCGCGCTCGATGGGTTGCCTACCGTCCGTGGGCAAGCCGCAGAAGCACCTGCAATGTAGAATGGGTTGCCTGCCGTTCGGGCGCCCTACATTCATGGGGTGCCCTGCCCATATCGGGCCACTGTCAGCGCTGTGTCGGATGGGGCGCCTACCTCTCGGGCGGTCCTCACAGCCCGGTACACTGGTACACATTCGTTTCAACACGAATCCGCCTTTCTTCAGGCTCGGGTCGAACCGATTCACATTGTAACGAATGTGACACAATAGCCAAACGAACGTGACACTCGACGTGACACGATGCAGGCCTAAAGAAACGAGACGTCGACGTCACACGTCTGGATCCTCAGTGTTTTGTGTCCAATGGGGTGCCTACCTTCCGGGTTATGCTCGCCTCAGGGTACGGTGGGGTGCCTACCTCTCAGGCGCCGTGTGTATGTGTGCGGGCGCGCGCGCGCGTGCCCGTGTGTGCATGTATGAATGAATGTATGTGTGTGTTGTTCAGGAGAGCTGCATACCTCCACAGCAATAGGCGATTCACTGGTCGCCTGATTATGCAAATGCAATGCAGGTGCGCTTGTTCGGCAAGCTAAAGGGCTTGGTGTACACAAAAAAGTGCTCATTGTTTTATAGACCTCGACAATCGGATTTATTTTACAAACTATACAAAATAATAAAAATTTACACAACCACACACACTAACATATGCAACTAGAGGGTAGGTAACTTATAGTAGGATCTAACAAATTTGAAATCAGTCGTGGTGTTTGGAAACACTGCTCAAACTCAACCCTGCAAACAACCTTTGCTTGGGTGATTTTAACGACCGAATAATCATATTAATACGTCTGACAGATTGATTCAAATCGATCATTACTGATTCTTAATGACACAGACATTCTTAGGAAACAAATCATTTTGTCCGCATCTCTCCCCACTCTAAATCTGCACTCAACAGCACTATTTAGCGAGGCATCAAAACCTTAACATCCATGGCACCCATTATCGTTTCTCGTCGATCTTTTCGCAACAGAACAACTTTCAAAAAAAAATTAACATAAAGAAGGAGACTCTTTTTATTTTTGCAACAGACAGAGTCGTCGTGGACGCCGCCCGGTCACGGAATCATACACGTCTCATCGTCGTGTAGACCCCAACAATACTCCGTTCCCACTTCTTCTTCCTCGTCGTCGTCCTCGTCGCGGTGCTGTAATCGGAGGGGGAGGGGAGGGGGGAGGGGGCGTCGCGCGCCGCTCCCCGGCCCGTCCAAGTCGCTGTCGGTCTTGTAGGCGTGAGTGGAGCGGAAAGGACGCCGATGGCGGCAATGGCGGCACACGTCCGCGTTTCCGTCGCCCGCAGCGCCGAGCGTCGCCGAGCGGCCGCCCGATTCCCGCACTTGTCGCTCCTCTGTCTCTCTCGCACTCACGGGGCGGGCCGGAGGGGTGCGAGAGAGACGGAGAGAGACAGAGTCCGGCGGACTGGCCGGACCGCGTCGCCGCGTCGCTGCGGCAGTCGTCGAGAAGCAGCGGGAAGTGGCGGCCGCCCTTACCTGGCCAACAAATAAAGCAGGGGCCGTGCCGTTTATTCTCATTAGTTGGCCGCGGTTCAGAACATGATCTGCGAGCTCCACTCGGCTCCCCTCCGGCTTACACCACTCGAACGAGGAGGAGGAGGAGGAGGCGGCGGTGTCCAAACCGCGCCAAATCATCGGCGGTAACGCGCCGCTTGACAAAGTTGCAGAGCAGCAGACTGATTCGTTTTCGTCGCCCCGTCTCTCTCGCACCCACACGGAACGCCCCACGAGTGCGAGAGAGACAGAGCGACGAAAACGACTCTCGGCATCAGTCTGCAGCGCGGCGATTTGGGCGCCGCGCCGTCTGGTCTCGCGAAAGGAGGAGGTTTTGCTCGACTACTCGTGTTTTACGACGCTGCCCGGCGCAGTTCCTGATTCATGCTCATGCGGTGTGGTGTAGCGGTCAGCGCGCTGCAGCGGCGGGGACCCAGTTCGTGCAGCATGATGCTGTCCGTGCAACGACACGCTAAGTAGAACGATAGGACAAGATCGAGGGGGCTTTGTTTCCCCGGTGGGTGGCGTCGTCGCCGAGGTGCATCTCCTGGCCGCCGAGGAGCGCACAGTGGGGCAGAAGACCGGCGCAGGCGGGCAAAACTCTAGACGCGTTTTGAACCCCTGATTCGCTAAACAGGACTCGAACCGAGCGTGTGACCCCACCAATGGATTCCTAGTGCTCGTCGAAATGTTATTGAAAAGCTGCCAAGGCGGCCTGAAGGCCTGAAGGCGGCGACGACGCTGACACGTCGGCCGCGCTATGCGTATTTCAATCTGTGCCCCCAATCTGAGCCCGGCACTCCGGCACTGCCAGCGTGGACTGATTCCGAGAGTCCCATGAGACGCCCCATGAGCGCGAGAGAAACAGAGCGACGAAAACGACTCTCGGAATCGGTCTGCGGGGCGTCCGAGGCGTGGCGCTGTTTATGTCGGCGGGGTTGGTATGTCGCGCGGCTCGGCGCTCTGCCCGCTAGTCTTCAATCATAGGACACCCCGCGACGTCGCGAAGTAGATAGCTCGCCAGCCGTCGCCCGCCGCGCTCCGACTACTGTGTAAAACTGTCTGCGGCAAGGTCCCTACTCCCCGGTCCCTACCGCTGCAATCGCCACCGACAAAGTTCAGTCTGCGCTGAAGCACGTCCGCAGTCGCCCTCCCTTCCCTCATGTCCATGGACAAATTGTTTTGCCAATAGGAACAAATTTTGTGCAACAATACTGTACTAAATTTGGTCACAAAGTTATAACCAGCGCTGTAACCAGTCCTTACCAATTGTAAGGACAAGTAGTTTGCCACTAGCTGGTTACAATTTATGGTGACGCGAAGAACTTGGTGAAAAATTTGCCTATGGACATGTAGTGCGCAGCAACTTACCTTTGAATTTCGTTTCAATTTTCGTTTTGTCTTTCTCTTCTAGCGGAGGTAGTTGTTGGCGTCGGGCCCCTGGTAGAAGGCGGCCTCCCCTCCCCGGTTCCTGCTGAGCAGGATGGGCGACACGGGCGGCGCCACGAAGCTCTGCACGAACTGGAGGGGCGCGGGGTCGGCGGGGTTGCGCGGCGGCGGCGGGTCCTGCGGCGGCAGCGGCGACGGCGGCGGGCTGGGGGCGGCGAAGGGGTTGAAGGGCGCGGGGGGCGGCGATGCG